ACAATTATAATTTTCTCACTTTTTCACATTTGCTCTCTGTCCAAACAACTCAAACTAGATTAGAACTAAATTAACTTCCAATTTTCTCTCACTTTCTCACATTTTCTTTCTACCCAATTTTGAGATCAAAGCAAGCAACCAACTCACAAGTAATTTAAAAATTCTTTACCAGCAAACATACCCAGAATTTAAATTCTTCTTGCATTCGGCAGAATCATCTTTCTCAATAGAATTGAAAGGTGAAGGATAAGAAAAATAAACCTGTTAGATCTTCAAGTTCATGAGCACCTACATCAAACGACAAATTCCATCTTGCATATGAAGAATGGCCTTAGTCTTCCTAAGAACTTTGCACATTCTGTAATCATAAACAAAGCATATTAAATTCACAAAATAAAAGAAAGAGGATTAAAGTAATTGATTAGTACATCAATCGCAATAATATACCAAAGAAGAAAAAATTTCAGTTTATAAAAGAAGTGACGAACTGACGAAGTGACGATTAATCGAAGAAGACTGATGACTGATGAGAGATTGAGAGGCAGGAGAGATTTGAGTTTAGGGAGAGTCTGAGAGATGAGATGCGGCCGCGATCTGAGACTGAGAGCTCAGAGATGAGATATTGAGATGAGAGTGAGACTGTGAGAGGGAGGCATGAGCGTGAATGGCTGAAATGAATGCGTGATAAAAAGTAAAAAACTTAGGGATTCAGTGGATAGTGACCAGCAAATACGGGTGCCCGCAGGTTCACCCGTATAACCCGTGATTTATTGGACTGGGTACGGGTACGGGTCACAAAAAATGGGTTTAATATATTGGACCCGTACCCTATATTTTTTACCCAGGTACGGGCCGACCCGTGGGTCCAGACCCATTTTGCCAGGTCTAGTCGCAGCATTAGGTGCGGGAGAATGTCACGACCAGCCTGCTTGCCGACTCAAGCATGCTACACGTTGCTTACTGATTAAGTATACTTCAGGGTGAAGCAAACTTAAGGGCTAAGTTAACTTAATAGCTAAGTTAACGACTCAGCAGCTAGGTTAGGCGACTAAGCACCTTCGTTTCCAAGGTTGCACTTTCGTTTCCAAGGTTGCACCAATGCTCGCCGCCCACGACCTTCGTTTCCAAGGCTGCACCAATGCTTGCCACCTAGGGTTTTCTTAATGCTTAAACATGTAGCTTAGTCACATTAATTTGAGGAGCTTGATCCTATAAATAGGCAACTCCACCATGTAAAGTTCATAAGTTGAATTCCATCAATACAGAGTTTATATTTTCTCTACACTTCTCTCTCATTTGTATACTTTTAGCCTGTGAGTTTGTGTGAGCGTTAAGCTGCTTAACTCAAGTCTGAAGAGTTAAGGCTGCACGAACTTAGCAAAGAAGTTAAGTGCGTGACATTAAGCTTAAAATGCTAACTACTGTAAACAATCTACACACTTTTGTTTATCACTTAAAACAACAAACATTATTAAGGTGCATAGTTCTGGAGCAATATTCAGATATAAATAAAAAAAATATCATTATCCTGAAATTACTTTGGACAAGCCACAGTGCAAAGGAAAACATAGACAATCATAAATACACATTCCACTACATATACTTATAGATAACTCCCCCTAATACTTTTACATTGTTCAATTACTTGCTAGACCCATAAACACTGAGATAGAGATTATGACCACCAAGAGTCCTTGGTCTAAAACCTAAATAAGTAAACAATGTGAAACAGTAAACACATTGTAGCAAACAAAAAATGCCCATTACTACCATAAATATACGATGCACAAAGTGCTCCTACATACAAGTACGGAAAATTCTCTTATATGTGATAAAATATTTTATTCGAATAAAAAAATTTTAATACTTATCCAAAGATTCTAAAGCACCTAGAACCATAACTTCCTTGTATAGTAGATTTTTCATATCAATGTTTTTTTTTCAAATCAACTAAACTAATTTGAAATCATTGATCTTAACCAAACTAGACACAATTTACATAATTAAACCTTGCAAATATTAAATACATTAGAAAAAGATAAAGAAAAAGAATAGTTGATTCACAAAGAACAGAAGTCTGTTACTGCATAATGAACTCAACAGACAACATAATTTATCCAAAAGCTAAATCAAACTATAGAAACACAACTAAGTAAACAAAAAATGAAGACAAACATATTTGTGATACATGCAAAAGAAGTTCATTAAAACCCAGAAAAAAATCTACAAAATGCATGAATGAGATATAATCATAAGCTCAAAAACACACAGAAAACATCATCTGTCATAAACCCATCAAACACCAAACAAAAAATTACTTAGTTCAGTCATCCTCCACCATCGTCGTTACCCCACGATTCTCTCATTTAGTTTTTGTTGTTCAGCTGTCGTCATTGTTCAGTTTTCATTTTCATTGTCGTCGTCGTCGGCCTCAGTTCAGTTTTCGTTGTTTAGTTGTCGTCGTCGATGATGGTCTCCAAACAATGGCACAGCTTCATCGTTGTTCAATCGTCGCCGTCATTGTTCAGTTTTCGTTTTCGTTGTCATCGTCGTTGGCCTCAGTTTAGTTTTCGTTGTTCAGTCATCGTCGTCGATAATGGTCTCCAAACAATGGCGCAGCTTCGTTCACAACCTTCCTTCAAAGAGTTAGAGACAAATGAGAAAGAGAGTTACAGACAAATGAGAAGGAAACGAAGAGGCAAGCCAAAAGTTTTGTTTATTTTGTTTTATTTGATTTTCTGCAAAGTCAACTTAAATGGGTCATGTGTCAATCTCTAAAGTGAATCTTCCTAAATAAGTTTCGCTCTAGATATTGAGGTTATATTTTGAAAGTTAAAAGTTTGATGGCTATATAAAATTATTGTATTGTCCTTTATGAAATTGAAATCACTAATTTTACATAACTGAAAGTACTTATTTGTCGATTCTAAACCTTTTGATTACCTATTTGTCTTTACGTAAAACCTTTGTTACTTGTAATTTGTTTGTCCATCTATAAATTAAAAATTAGTATCTCTGAAAGACCAATTATTATAAATAAGTCTCGGTTAATCTCTTTATTACCTCCAATACTAATTAAAATCATTTAAAAACATTTATGAAAAAATATATTATTTTTTATTCCAAGATTAGCCTTACCTTATATTTTTCTTTTACCTCTCGTTGTTAACCCTTCCTCTTATGTGTTTTCTCTTTCGTTAAACTGAATCATCATTTTTTTCTCTCCACTAATTACCAAAATTAGCATTTCTTCATATCACTTTTCTCTTCATCCTACCCATAAAAATTTTATGAGTGCAACTTCCACGGCCATGAAAAATCAAGAAGATGCAATAAAATAACCCTGTTAAATGTTTACCGTTTTAAATTCCATCAAACTGAAGACTAAGATGAGAAAATAAGTTAGTAAACATTAATTTATGAATCTTTGTTTGTTTATTGTAGCTTATATTAGATAATTATTATGCTTCATTACCTTTTCCATCGATAAAAAAGAGATTTGCAAAAACTCAAACAAAAGACAATTTAAAAAATACAATAAAATTGAGAGAGCTATTTTTTCATGATTATTTTCTTCCTATTTGTATGGGCAAAAAAAACGTCGTGGGAGGCTCAATAGCGAAATAAACATGTTGCGGCCCAAAGCCTTAGCCCAATTCTGGTTGGACCTACGCTTGAAGTCACCTTATGAACTGTCCACTCTATGAGTTGGATTATCCTACAAGTTAAGTTAAATTGGGTTCCAACCTATTAGCCTACAACTGTCCATACATAAGAAATTAGAAACCCATTCTATTTCCTCTTCTCTGCTAAAATCACGAATTTTACTCAAATTAGTAAACTTAATTACAAGAAAACATTTTTCTTTCTTGATAGGGATTATTTCTCAAAGTAGGACTTGGTATTTCGACCCCTTGGGTTTACTATGTAAATAGAGGTTTGCCTTCTCATAATTCATTCAATTTTCACTACTTAAAACTACAAAACTCCCGGTCTAGTAGATTGTCAGTGGCCTCAACTGTACAGGATCCATCCTTTTTGTAACCGTAAATTTTTTTCATCTACACTATTGATGAAAAATGAATTTAAAAATTTATTTTTTGAAGCTTATAAAAATATACAATGGGACTTAAATAACGGCTCTCTAAACCGATGTTGTAGTTAGGGACTTAGGGTGGCGAAGAATTAGTCTGGCGCTGGCCTACGGACTTGCATGATCTGATGGAAGAGAACCAAATACAAAACAAATTTAGAATTTACATAAAATACGTACATATCCACCGGCCCAAGGCAAGGCCCATTCCATCATACCAAGGCACCAACCGCTTAACTTCAGAACCTGAAATCAGCCCATTCACATGCATCGTTTTTCCTTTTAAGATAAGATTTTTTTTAAAAAACAAAAAATCTTAAATTAATTTTTTATTCATTGACTTGATAACTCATCATCCTCAATTAACCGTAAATTATATTTACTCGTATTATAAATGATCTCTCTAGGCATACATATGCGGTAAGTTTTTCTGTTTTATTATTATTAATTTATTCTGCAGAAGGGTTAAGAACTTTAGAGCGTAGTGGTACAACTGCAAAAGCATAATATGGTCGGCTAACAATACTAGCCTTACAAAGACAAAAATAAAGAGGGTATACACAATTCCTACCCTTCATCTTCATGATTTCTCTCTCTCTCTCCCTCTTTTTTCATTTTTTCTTTGTTTTTTCCTTCTTGCTGATGTCATTTTATAACCCCTTTGTATTATCTTTGTAAAGATAGTATTTTTCATTTTATAACCCCCTTTGTATTATCTTTGTAAAGATAGTATTTTTTCTATGGTCGGCACACTATAGGTTAATCAGCACATGCATCGTTAAAAAGCAGTAGAAAGCAGAAGGGCGTAATAAAAAAAAATAAATAATAAAAAAGAAATTAATAATAAAAAACCCATGACCTGAAATCAGCTCTGTTCAGTTAGAAAGATTTACAAAAAAAAAAAAAAAAAAAAAAAAAAAAAAGATAGACGAGTCTCCTCCATCTATGTGACAGGAAGAGCTCCATAAGTCAAAAGTATATACCATCTACCTAGCTATCTCATACAACAAACCCATCAACCTTCTCTGCAACTTCATGTGCAGCTAACAAAAAACAATAAATAAAAAATTAGATACGCTAGGTACATTCAAATGGCAGATGGAATCACGGTAATATGCTTCAGAGGATTCGATACATCTGTGCCTCCAGCATGCTGAACAAACTCAGCGGGAGAGAAGGAAGTTCCGTGGCAGACACAAATGATGCTAACCTCCGTTTTTGTATATCTGTACAGAAACCCATTAATAGTTTTTCCATTGGGACCATTCCCAGTCGTCGAAACACATGGCATTTGGGGAAGGGAAAGAGTATTTTGATTCTGAATTTGAGATTTGGGAGGCTTGCCTATGTCCCTCTTGGATTCCTTCAATACACCAGAGGGTCGATTTTCAGTAGTGGACACACCTTCCATAGGTTTATTTGATGGGTTCAACTGGACAATGTTAGATGAAATCTTTTGCTCGATACAGTTTGGCGTACAGTTTGCAGCTGGGCTGCATTGAGTATTATTTGATGTATTCTTTGGCTTGATACAGTTTGTTGTTTCATCATAAACTTGAGCAGCTTCCCTCAAATGCGATGATGCACTGTGTTCAGACTGGCCCTTTGTATCATTTACTTTTGAGCCATTGAATGGATCATGTTGGTCTGGCAAGGAGTAAATTGAATGACTTCTGGTTTCGCTACTGCCACCACCTGGAAAAACAATAACCATTACATGTTTAGTCTCACTTTGAAGGATAACTCCTCTGAATTACAATGTACATCAGAATCACCTCGAAAATATAAGTCATCAAGATCAAAATATGTAAAGGCTGCGATGTACATCCATCAAGTATCTATCAATATAACTCCGCTACTCAAGTCTTTCCGGTAAAGGAATTATCTACTGACACATTGATTCTACGGAATTTTTCTTTCATAGATTTATTAAGAACTCCACCACATGACTCACATATGAAGTAAAGATATCTTAGGAATGAAAATAATACTTTTTATATTCATCAAACAAAGGGTTGTCGGCCGGTTAGATTTCTAGCACCCGCCAAATATATCCATTTACAACGGGTAAGGCCATTATCTCAATGCTATTCTTCCATAGAAATATAGAAGTTCTAGCTACGAGAGGCCACTCTCCAGGTCATTGCCCACATCTTATTCTTTGAAATCTTATAGAGAGATGTTTCAAACCATAAATTTGATATAAATACAAAAACAAGAGAAATGTAGTCAAGCAATTCCATAAGGTAGCATGTTATCAAGTTATGAAAACTTACAAGACATGCCCACAAAGAATTTATACAACGATTAAACAATGAATTAGCCTTATTTACTGCCTAGTGGGACAACCGGATCTTGGAAATTAGTAAGGCACAGACAAAGCCATATATCTCTTCATTTCTTGTGTTTTGCATCTCTATATATAATCTATGTCTTCCTATTCGATCCTTCTTTCACAAGCTGCTACATCATAATTTATACAATTGTGCTTTTATTATGTAAAAACAAATAATGGCTGCTTCGATATACGCTTGAGCACGATAACAACAATGAACACAGATTGCAAAACATCAACATCAATCACAGAAATATAATATAATGCATAAATATCAGTAATATTTAGAAAGGAAATTAAAGAAAAACATTTGCAGCATCATAGTACCTTCATAAGAAGAGCTCCGGTAATCCGAAACTGCAGAGGAACTGCCCATGGGCGAGCCATGGGACCCTGCTTTCCTGCTATTCTGGTCCGAAGCACACCCATCACCTACATTGAAACCGAGTAGATGACTATGACCTGATGGAAACGGCCTAAAACTCTGATTTACCAAAGACTGCACCACATTCGCAGTCTGCCCATTCCCGATACTAACTCCACCATTTCCCCAAAAAGGCACCACATTCACACAAGGATACGGTAACCCGTTCGGGAGCTGGACGAACTGTATCGATGGGTAAGGGTACATAACCGGACAAACCGCAGGCGAGGAGAATGCAGTTGGATTAGAACTTAAGCTGTCATTTTGATTCATGTTGTTGATATTTTGCTCTACGGTAAAATTGAGATTCACATTTTTCATTTTCATCTCCGCATTACTGTTTCGGGATCCGTTATCTTCTACTCTATTTTTCTTGCATTCTCTTTCGTTTACATCAAACTCCCGTTCTCTAGTCTCGAGTTTTGGTGATTTTAACCACATCTTGTTATCGTGTATAACTCCAAAACCACCGTTGATGCACTCTTCACTTTCTGTTATTCCTTTACGTTGCTGTTTCTCTTGTCGTTTCTTCTTAGCTTCCTGTCTCCGTAATGCCTCAACTTCGCGTTTTACCTGGGGCTCAACACCCATTCTTTCAAGCTGGAGAGCAGTCGAAATTTTTGGATGATTATCTCTCTGATCTGTATCGAAACAACTAGTTCTTGGATCTCTCATACTTTCAAACTGAACCGGTTCGCTTTTGATGGGGTTCACTTTCTCTGACCTTTTGAAACCTCCACCAATTGACAATCCTAACTCCAGCTCCATCTCTTCTTCTTTCTTCAGCGCTATCATTGTACATCAATTCTCTAGTGAACGGCTCAAAAGCTTCAAGCTAAGACTGCATATACTAAACAAACACATGAACCTGCGATATCACTTAAATTATTTTCTAGGGTTTCCTCTCTGTGTCATGATTCTCAGATTTTATGAGAGGGGAAAACAAAACAAGGGAAAGGACGCAGGAGAGATAGAGAAAACTCCACGTGGCAAAACAGGAGAAGTGGGAGAAGGCTGTAATTGACACGTAATAATTTCCGTTATCGGCTGATTTTAAAACAATTGTTCTATAACTCCGCTAAAATTTAGCGGGAATGCGCTTTTGATGTTTATCAAGCATGCGCCTGCAGAGTCGTGGGTGTGCCACGTGGCATACGTGCATGAAGAGCTAAGTAAAGACACGTGTTGTCTGATATTGTCCTTAATAACAGCACTGTGTCTAACATCCAAACAAGAATACGGACACGTGGTGTGAGATATTGGTGTCCCCTCGAATCTCCTCCGTCGATTTAATTTTACGAATGCCCAGGCCAAGAAGGCTACGCAATGGTTTTGGGTTTCGACACGTGTAATAGTCAGGTTAATGTAGGTCCGAGTATCCATGCGTAGATTTGTGGGAGTCAAACACGTGGGTGGAGTGAAAGGCGTCACAGCTCAGCACATCAAGTTGCTTTGCAGCTTTTAGAAGATTGATTTGGACGTGTCAAGTTATCCGTATGGTAGTACGTTGTATACGTGGAACGCGGTGAGATAACAGATAAGGAGGTTTGGCCTTACAGTGAAAGTAACACGTGGAGGTGCAGGATAGGTCTGGTGGGTTGTTAAAAGGATGAGGGGTGGAGCCAGAGGGGTTTGAAAGTTTGAAGACATGAAATGACGCATGGAAGACACGTTTCAATCAGTGATAAGTTGTGACAGAGAATCACGAGGTGTGTTGTGTGTAGTGTCAGCATGAAAACTGACCCTGCTTTATGAATGATTACTTGTGATCTGAAGCCTTGGGTGCAGGTGGTGCAGGTGCAGGTACAGGTGCAGCTAATAAGGTGAGGTCAGGTTTTGTGTTGAAGGGACATTGCTTTGAGTATCAGATAACTACATGCTGTACACGTCAACATTCCATGTCATCAATAATAAACAGACCTGACGATAAATTTCAGCTAGGAGTAAAAGTTAGATATGTTGGAGGAGAGGGACAAGTAGAGAAAAAACTTTTAACTAGATTTTGTCATCTAGTTAGATAAGTTCTCATCTAATCATCGCCACAATGTGATGAAATAGTTTAACTAGATTTTATCATATAAAGTGATAATTTAAAAAAAAAAAAAAAATTATATATTGCTTACTATGTTTGATAAACCATAAAACTGGCACACGAGTATGTGATTGGTTTAATCACGTCCGTATGATTATATAATTATATTTTAAAGTTTTATATAAAATATAATTTCTCCGCTCAAGTAGTGATATAAAAGTCGGCCACCAATTGTTAATCGCACCTCATAATTTGTTAGAATTAATTTATTTTTTCTTTTTGAGAAAAAAGCGATTAATGTTTGGTCGTTTTTTATTATTTACAGTTGGAGTCCGTCCCTACTATCACACTGCACTTCTNAACCGCAGGCGAGGAGAATGCAGTTGGATTAGAACTTAAGCTGTCATTTTGATTCATGTTGTTGATGTTTTGCTCTACGGTAAAATTGAGATTCACATTTTTCATTTTCATCTCCGCATTACTGTTTCGGGATCCGTTATCTTCTACTCTATTTTTCTTGCATTCTCTTTCGTTTACATCAAACTCCCGTTCTCTAGTCTCGAGTTTTGGTGATTTTAACCACATCTTGTTATCGTGTATAACTCCAAAACCACCGTTGATGCACTCTTCACTTTCTGTTATTCCTTTACGTTGCTGTTTCTCTTGTCGTTTCTTCTTAGCTTCCTGTCTCCGTAATGCCTCAACTTCGCGTTTTACCTGGGGCTCAACACCCATTCTTTCAAGCTGGAGAGCAGTCGAAATTTTTGGATGATTATCTCTCCGATCTGTATCGAAACAACTAGTTCTTGGATCTCTCATACTTTCAAACTGAACCGGTTCGCTTTTGATGGGGTTCACTTTCTCTGACCTTTTGAAACCTCCACCAATTGACAATCCTAACTCCAGCTCCGTCTCTTCTTCTTTCTTCAGCGCTATCATTGTACATCAATTCTCTAGTGAACGGCTCAAAAGCTTCAAGCTAAGACTGCATATACTAAACAAACACATGAACCTGCGATATCACTTAAATTATTTTCTAGGGTTTCCTCTCTGTGTCATGATTCTCAGATTTTATGAGAGGGGAAAACAAAACAAGGGAAAGGACGCAGGAGAGATAGAGAAAACTCCACGTGGCAAAACAGGAGAAGTGGGAGAAGGCTGTAATTGACACGTAATAATTTCCGTTATCGGCTGATTTTAAAACAATTGTTCTATAACTCCGCTAAAATTTAGCGGGAATGCGCTTTTGATGTTTATCAAGCATGCGCCTGCAGAGTCGTGGGTTTGCCACGTGGCATACGTGCATGAAGAGCTAAGTAAAAGACACCTGTTGTCTGATATTGTCCTTAATAACAACACTGCGTCTAACATCCAAACAAGAATACCGACACGTGGTGTGAGATATTGGTGTCCCCTCGAATCTCCTCCGTCGATTTAATTTTACGAATGCCCAGGCCAAGAAGGCTACGCAATGGTTTTGGGTTTCGACACGTGTAATAGTCAGGTTAATGTAGGTCCGAGTATCCATGCGTAGATTTGTGGGAGTCAAACACGTGGGTGGAGTGAAAGGCGTCACAGCTCAGCACATCAAGTTGCTTTGCAGCTTTTAGAAGATTGATTTGGACGTGTCAATTATCCGTATGGTAGTACGTTGTATACGTGGAACGCGGTAGGATAACAGATAAGGAGGTTTGGCCTTACAGTGAAAGTAACACGTGGAGGTGCAGGATAGGTCTGGTGGGTTGTTAAAAGGATGAGGGGTGGAGCCAGAGGGGTTTGAAAGTTTGAAGACATGAAATGACGCATGGAAGACACGTTTCAATCAGTGATAAGTTGTGACAGAGAATCACGAGGTGTGTTGTGTGTAGTGTCAGCATGAAAACTGACCCTGCTTTATGAATGACTTCTTGTGATCTGAAGCCTTGGGTGCAGGTGGTGCAGGTGCAGGTACAGGTGCAGCTAATAAGGTGAGGTCAGGTTTTGTGTTGAAGGGACATTGCTTTGAGTATCAGATAACTACATGCTGTACACGTCAACATTCCATGTCATCAATAATAAACAGACCTGACGATAAATTTCAGCTAGGAGTAAAAGTTAGATATGTTGGAGGAGAGTGACAAGTAGAGAAAAAACTTTTAACTAGATTTTGTCATCTAGTTAGATAAGTACTCATCTAATCATCGCCATAATGTGATGAAATAGTTTAACTAGATTTTATCATATAAAGTGATAATTTAAAAAAAAAAAAAAAATTATATATTGCTTACTATGTTTGATAAACCATACAACTGGCACACGAGTATGTGATTGGTTTAATCACGTCCGTATGATTATATAATTATATTTTATAGTTTTATATAAAATATAATTTCTCCGCTCAAGTAGTGATATAAAAGTCGGCCATCAATTGTTAATCGCACCTCATAATTTGTTAGAATTTATTTATTTTTTCTTTTTGAGAAAAAAGCGATTAATGTTTGGTTGTTTTTTATTATTTACAGTTGGAGTCCGTCCCTACTATCACATTGCACTTCTTGTTATTTATCTATTATTTTTCCAAGTAATAATATATCATGTATGGATAGAAGTGGGTAGTAGCCTTTGCTTTTGTAGAATAATAGCTTAGAAAAAATGATTTTCCAAGTGTATGATTTGTGTTTGAAAAAAAAAAATTGAATCTTAAAGTCATTTAATGCACGTCCAAATAACCTGTGAAGATATAATAAGAACGTTTCATCAATTTATATGTTACATAATTGCAAAGGTGATTGTCTTTTTATGTATAAGGTAAGGTTGGACGTTTCTCAGATGACGGAAATGAAAACAAACAAAATTGTAATTTCAGTTATATTGATTAAATATCTTAAAAAGCTATGATCAATAATGTCTGGCATTTATTAGATTATTACCATCTCAAACTTTGTGATAAAAAAAAATGCACGGTCCATGTGTAAATGGGCCTCATGATGTAAGCCCTCAGACTAATAAAATTTGAATTGCATTAGAAGATAAAATCCACAAAGCTTCTTGAGAAAACAAACAGCTGAGCTGAATGTACATCCTTTTGCGATTAATTAACTTGTCAAAAACTAAAATTTGAAATTTAAACAGGCATCCTCATGATAAGTTGGCCATCCTTTAAACTGCAATAGGCCGAAAAGAAAAAAAGAAAAAATGATAATGACAATGGACAGTGGTAGGTATAAATAATATGATGGAGTTAAAGGAAGAAGAGCACCTTTTGATGTAATAGTAACAAAAGTCAGCCAAAATGAACGTTTGAATCATTTCAGCAAGGAAAGCCATTGGGAACCAGAAGTATCCATGTCCAACCAAAAATAGATAACGCCCTCTTGTCTCAATAACCTGTGTGTAAATTGCAAGATACTGAGTTCTGTGTATAAAAAGAGCCCAAAATTTGGGATGGCGATGAGTGGGAGAAGAAATTACAACTGACCTGTAAAATCCAGTGAGCGCAAGACAAGAATCTTGCAACACCCAACGCAAATACATAATGGGACGTAAATGGTTCAATCATCTGAAACCATTTAATAAGAATTATCATAAATTGATTATTGTAACATAAACAACTGCTAAATTAACACAGCCCTAAGTTTATTATACCTTTGCGTTCTGCATCATTCGAAGCTGAGGAAACACAGAGACAGATTCCAAGTACACACAGAATGCCCAAAGAATTCCACTAACGCTCATTCTATAGCTATAAGGGTGGATCATTAAGGCAAGGATAGCACAAGGCACCACCTGTCATATAGTTTGAAGAGAAGTAAAATATTTTCTTTTTACAAGTCACTAGAATTAATGGCAAGTTCTGTTCCTCTAGAGGAAGGATTTCAATGAAAACCAGCAATTATAAATTATAAATTCTATCCGCCTATGTATTTGCATACTCATAAATTAAACACTCTATCCACTTAAGTATCTGCATAATCGTTCAGTCATATATGGAACTAAAAGTTTTCTAGTAACTGGACTACTAATCACAGTTGGACACTAGAACAGAAGTCATACCCTGCTGATATATTATGAAGACATTCCAGATTTTCAACGGAAGTTACTGTCCGTCAATGGTCATATTACTTGGATTCAATCCTGATTTTGTTTTGCCAACCATAAGATTGTTCTTTAATATAAGAATATATGTAGATTATATAGTCGGATAGAACTCAAGAGAAAATGAGAAATGGATCAAGTCAAAAACTACATTTCACAGCTGTCACCTAATATGAATAACAATTAACAACTAATAAATCAATTACTATGTAACATAGGGCCTTGTAGCTAATTGGATGAAATTTAGAGAAATTGGATCCTGATTAAATATTCTGTTCACTTACCATTATTTAAAGATGACATTGAACAGGATACTTACTATATAGTATAACGGGAAGTTGTCTAACTCCTTGATGTAGGTTGACTTCAACTTGAAACGGACCATATACATAACCCATGCTGTGGATAAGAGGGTTGCAAAATCTAGCACTGTGTGAATGTCACCCTCCATTACAGTGCTACAAAACATTCTTACAGCTAGGAACAGAGCCGTGAGTTCTTGAGACCTCAGTGAGAGACCTGAAAATCATTATAGCTTTCAAATTATTGAAATAGTTGAGCCATTAAGATATATATATAGCGGGGGGGTGGGCGCGAACAGAAAAAAGTAAGGAAACTTGTAAATATGAAAACACGGTTGAGGAATATGCGGCAACCTAGATGAGATGATTAAAGGATCAAATAACTTGTCTGCCAAAAAATCATCATGTAAACTATCATAATTTATAAGTTCTGACCAACCCATTATCCTACATATCATCTTATTACATAGGTGAACTCGAAAACCCGACAAGCCTACCTGTTTTAGTAGCTACAATATTTTACATAGGCACTCAAGGACAAAATAACATTTACTGTCAAACTCTAAACTGCCTCAAGAAGATATTGTAGACACTTGTCTCAACTTTATCAAATTTGAGGATAGGGATGGAGGAAGATCTTCACCAATCTAGACAGCTTGCAAAAACACCCATGACATTGAGCTAAAAAGAGTATAAATAAACAGTTTCCCCTCCTCAAAGAGGAGGTTGGATACACAAGCATACAAAGAAAATATAGAAATAACTCTATTAGAAAGAGACTAGCTTGTAATTCTCTAAAAAAGCTTTATTCTTGTAACCTGAGTGATTTTTCTTTTTGTATGTTGCATTAACAATCTAAGAGAAAGCCATTAATGAAACCACAATGGACGTAAAATTTGCTTAACTGTATCCAAACCACTTTAAAACTTTTCTTGTCAGTTTTCATTCATGTTTCTTTGAAGATATATCATCATTGCATCAAAAACAATCTCACAAAGCCTTGAGTGTAGATTCATAGCAGTTTACATGTGCTAATTTCATTGGTGTCAAAATTATGTATCAACAAATTCCAAATGCAGTAACAGTCTAATTGAAATGTAGAATAATCATAACTTATAACAGATTGTAAAATGAGATTTCAGTCTCCAATCTATAATTTCTATGGGCCCAATCTCCTGCAAATAACTTCAATTCCTTAAAACAAAAAAATGTCGTTAGAACTTTGCATTGTTAGAAAATGTTAATGTATTGTGATTTACAATTTTTATTTCAAATAAGACATAAAGTCCAAAGACAAGTACTTGTTTTAAGAGAAGAAAACGTAATAATTCATCATCAAGATAAAATTTTCCAGAAAGAAAAACCTTTGTCTTCTTGAATTGAATTGATAATCTTCATGCATAAAAAATAATACTAAATTATGCATCGAAAATCATCACAAACTCTTACATTCAAACTCATAAACAACAAAATTAATAACGCGAGATGATCGATAGGAATATTATACCAGAACAGGTCTTCTTAGTTTTGAGCTTGTAGATCAAGACAATGATGCCAGCGGCATGGATAGCCTCCGATGCAACGAAGAAATAATCATGATCTTTAACCCAAAGCTTCATAGCCATCAAAGAACACACCGCAAACGTCACTGCAAGAAAGCTCTTCACCTTCATTGGCTGCCGTTTCAGCCATTCAAGCACCACATTCTCACCAGATCCTCCCCTTTTCGCCCCCATAATGATCTCTTTCTTTTTCTTCTTTTTCTTCAAGATAGATAACAAATTAACACTCGTATTTAATCCAAATATTTGCGGCTTTGTGTGCGTTCGGGTTTGTTTTGCTAAAGATGGCGGAGAGAGAGGAGGGAAATGAGACGACACGAAGACTACATGCAGTTGGTGTAGTGGCGTTGAATTGTTTCCATGTTAATGGCGAATAACAGATTGACACGTATGTTTTATATTTAAGACAGAAGATATGATCCCGAAGTTTGTGACTGCCTGTTTGGAAACGTTGATTTGGACCTTAATCTTCTTGTTAAATCTGACATTCTATTGACTTATGATTTGGATTTGTTTTAGGTGAGACGTTTTTGGCTGAAAATGGGATGCAGAATACATCTAGACCGTTGAATTGGTTGTAATCTACTTTGGAATGTAATGAGTGATCAAATTATGAAGACTAGACTTCACACGAGTTTCATGCCGTGATTACAAACCCAACCCAAGGTTTCACCCATGCAAGGGGTCAGGTCTAGGGTTGATCGGTTAAACCGACAGTCTGACCCGTGATAAATAAGTTTTAAATCTAGCAAACACACTCCTAATAAATACGTGTCAATCCTTACAGGTTTAAATTCTATCAAACACACCCCTACAACAGTTAGAGTGTTGAATTTTCTGGTCAAATTCCGATTGATTTCGGCGTTCACTATTTTAAAACCCATCTGGTTGAATTGGTTCAACCGAGACCCGGAGCCTTCACCGGGTTGGGTTATAAATTTTCCTATTCATCCAAACCCTATAAATTAAGACATCAATCTGTGAACAATTGAAGACTAGAATATTAGAGCTTTTGAAGAGAAATTGTTAGCAAGTGCAATAGTGGCAACAACATTGATTTTCAGTGAGTGAATCAATCGGAAATCGCAAAACAATGTTGCTGGAAAAATTCCGTTGTCATTGGCGATTGGGGAGGCGAACAGGAGAGGGGTGAGATGGGTTTTGGTTAAGAGGTTGAAGGGAGTATTTTCATGGTGATGGAGAGTGTTGTCATCGCTGCAAACAAGCTCTATTTGTCGAGGCTAATGGTAGTGTTTGAGGTGTTTTTGCAAGATTTCAAACCTATACGGACTTACATGTAGTTTTTAGGGATATTTTTGTTAGATTTCAAACCTTTGGACATTAATTTGACCCGTCGGTTAACTCGGAGCCCGGCCACTTTGCTGGTTTTCACCCTAGGTTGGGTTTTAAAACATTGTCAACGTTAAAAATTCAATTCGATACCACCACCTGAACCACCGACCTCCACTCTACAAGACCCCTCTAACCTCGATACTTGGTAGCCCCTTATTCGTCGACTGTGACTCGTGTATACCGATGTGATTGGGTTGATTTTCCGATCAAATTCTGGCTGATTCCGATGTAAACAATACAATCAGACACCAACTCTTGAACCATCAGTTTTCACTCTACAAAACTCCTCTAATCGTAGCACTTGATAGCCCCTCGTTAGCCGACGATCAGATTAGAGATTTTGGGAATAGTTAAAAGCAGTAACTTGATCCGGAGAAGGCCTCGGGTCCCAATCAAACCGATTAAACCGGCCGGTCTGGGCCGGGTTCCTAATCAATGGTCTCATGTGCTCGTAATAGAATTTTAGCATAACAACATAATATTGATATCAATTACTAGTTCAATATCTATGATTATAAATATTGTCTATGAATCAGATTTAATTATGAAAGATTTGATATGTCAGCTGACAATTGCAAAATTAAATAAATAAGATTGAGTTTATTTTTATGGTTTATCTTAACTAGAGTTAAAACTCACTGTCTTGTTAAAAGCGGTCTCTCGGTCTCTCCCTGCAGAAAAAGCATGTTTGACCATTTACATTCATAATTTTGACACCGGTTTTCGATATGTGTTTTTGCCACTTATTGCCACCAAAGTTTCTACCCATCCACATACAAAAATGAGATTATGAACCATGTAGCAAATTTTAGTTGAAAATAAACTATTTTACACTATTTACCAAATATTTTTAAGTCACTTTTTCGACAATATATCAAATTCGATCTAATAATATGTATTTTAAAATAAAATTAAAAAAGAAAATCAAATTCTGAGTATATGCAAAGTCCTTCATTATCTAGAATCATTCTCTCAAGAGGAGAAGATATCAATAATATCATCACAGATGCTTTTATTGAGCATATATTGAAACCACAACATTTATTTTTAAGGTAACAACCCACCTTCCATATCCTTATATAGAGAGTACTGACTGTGAAAAGTCAAGAACTTTAGACTATGTGGCCACCTCTAGGATAAGTTTCACTTCACATGAAGACACTATTATTTACCTTTATGCATTTTATAAACAACATAGATGGTAAGTTTCAACTTCCCATTAGTTGCCTCAAACACACTGATAAAGATCCGAATTAAGGCGTGGTTTGATGGCAACTTCAAGAGGTTTCAACTTGGGCAACGCAAGGCCCAAACCTTCCTGCATATCAACTGGCTTGCCTTCAGTTGTTGCCAAATCAAATCCCTGGAGTAGCCGAGCAACCGTTAAATGTACCAATGTTAACCCTGCAGTCATTCCAGGGCACGATCTTCTACCATAGCTAAATGGAATATACCCAAATTTTTGACCTTTATCATCAGTTTCAGCTTCAGTAGTCATAAACCTTTCTGGCTGAAACTCGTTCGCATCTTGCCAGATACGTGGGTCTCGGTGCAGCTTCCATATGTTAACAATCAAACGCGTGCCCTTTGTGATATGATAACCACCGATGTTACAGTCTTCCAGGGCCTCACGGGGTCCTGTTACAGGACCTGGAGGATACAAGCGAAAAGTTTCTTTCACAACTGCTTGGAGGTATTTCAGGTTCTTGACATCCGACTCCTGAACCCACTTTTCTCTTCCGACTTGGTTGTCCAGCTCTTCTTGTACGGCCTTTAGAACTTTTGGATAGTTCAACAACAGGGAGAGTACCCACGTCATGGCCACAGAAGTGCTTTCTGCGCCTGTAAAGATTAGAATCTGCAAAAGAAAATTAATTAAAAGAAGGCATTTATATATATAGTAAAATTAAATTGATGTCACGCTAACTTACGAAAGATGTTGCCTTGATGATAGTATCACGCGTATGGCCAGACATTACAGCGTCTTCTGGGATTTTTGACAGCAACACGTCCATGAAGTCACGCTCAGCATTACTTTTGCCTTGTAATTTTCTCTGAATATGTTCTTCAAGCCAATTTCCGAGGACATGGTCGATTTCTTTAAAAGTTCTCTTCATTGAACCCACATGCCCTTGAAAATCCATCCATTCAAGCCATGGAATGACATCACCCGCAACAAAAACCCCAGACAGATATATTGCTTCTTTTATAGCTCTCTCAATACGCCAGGCCTCGCTACCTTGTTCACCATACTCTCTAGGTGAAAATCGCTTTCCAGCTATCAGCTTCAGGTTTACATTGAAAGTGAAGTGCTCAATCAAGTTACTTATATTCACCTCAACAGGATTGAATGAGTTCTTTGCACAAAGTAATTTCAAACCTTTAACCAATGTCTCAATCTCCGAGTGCCTTACGTGCTTTAGCATTTCAAGTCGGTGACTCGAAAGAAGATCGGTGGTGGCTATTTTGCGAATCTCCCGCCAGTATGGTCCATAAGGGGCAAATGCAAAAATGGCGTTGTCATAGCCAATATGTCTCCCCACCGATATATTTGGCCGCGTAGCCAAAATTCTGTCATTTGTAGTGAAGCATTCTTTCACAAATTCCCAACTGCTCACAATCAAAGTTTGGTGTTTACCAAGCTTAAGTGAGTAGATGGGGCCACATTTATCAGCTATGGCTCCAAGTGTTTTACAAACTGGAACCGAGGCAGAGAGTAGAGGGAATTGGCCTATGAGAGGCCACGCCCCATTTGGTTGAGGGACAGCCATCTTCTTGTTACACTTGTTTCTGTACTTTGCCTTAGCTCTCCATAAATGATAGAGAAGTAGCAGAGCTAACAGCTCTATAATTGATTGAGTGAAAGAGGAAAAATATTCCATGGTGGAGAGAGTGTGTTGTGGTAATCTCTGCATAACCTGCACTCCTATTTATAGTTGAGAGGACCTGCCAAAGCCTTAAAAAATATGTACTTAATTATTTTTTAAAAATAGTTTAATTCTGTTAAAACTTCTGGTGTGTGGCTTTCCGCTTGCCAGAGCCTTTGCTTGTACAGCCGCAACAAAAAGAAAATGCGCAGGCCCTTTTCATGCAGAGTAATTAAAATCTCACTGAATATTATACAACAACGATTACCATACCTAAGAATTCTTTACAGAACATTTTATTTTATTTTATTTTATTTTTTAAGTTTTATGCAAAGTATAAGGTAAAACGTTATAAGTAATAATCACATGGGCAGGGTGGAGGGTGGCCTCATCAAATTATTGAATTATTGCATGTTATGTTAGGAATTGGTTGATAATAAATTTAATAATACTATAATTATAAAAGAAATCTTACAAAGATTTCCATACAAAGTGAGGTGACAAAAAATGAATAGAAGAGTAAAATAAAAAATTAAACTCATTAAATTCATTCTTTCATTCATTTTTTGCCACGTCACTTTGTATGAAGATCTTTGTAAAATTTCTTTGTAAGTGTAGTATTACTCAAATAAATTGTAACCATAGATACCTAGGCCTCATGTTTCATACGTATCTCTCCTACTCCACTCATATTAATGTCAAGATCTAAGTTTTTGATATGTAATACAGTGGGCCTTAGCGTTTTGGAATTCAATGTGAACGTAGACTATTCAAATCTTGAACATGTGAACCACGTTAATTGTTTGTCTTCAATTATTCGCTAATCTTGTGTGTATGATTGAATTGACAGTAGATTTACAGTGTGATTTGGTTCCCCATCGCAACAAGAAATAATGCTATATTGTAATCGTCTATATCAATGTTTGTGATGTGAGATGCGTGGGACAACTCATGATGTTGATTGTATTTCCAGCACTTCATCGTTCTATATCTCGCCTCTTCATGTTCTTTAACACTTCATCATTATTTTCCACTTAATCAAATTGGCTTCACAGTCCGTAGTTAATTTCTACAAATGTTCATCTCAGATATTAAATTTTTGCTTTGTGTATATCAACAAATAAACATCAAACTCGTTAGGGCCAAAAATCGTCATTGACCCAAATAGAAGAACGAGACTGAATGAGGAAGAGACCAGACCCAATCCTGATGCGACCCCATCCAAATTAGGCCCATTTGATACGAGATACAGTCGGCCCAAACCATCGGTTCGGGCCTCCAAATCCCAATTCACTTCCTGGACCTATGAGCAAGTCCAGAGCCCACGACACCCACATATCACTTTCTTATTCTAGATCAGTTTCCTATTCGAAATCACCTTCTTGTTCAAGTCACTTTCCTACTCGAGGTTACTTTTCTGTTCGGGATCACCTTCCTATTCAAACACTGGTAAGACAGCTCACCATCGCCCTAATTCCTCCAGGGTTTGTATCAGAGTCACACTAGGACTCCTACTCCCACTAGGACTGGGAGATCAGACAGTCACTATATAAGCAGAGGTCAGCCCTCTCACAAGGGACATTAGATTACATTACATCTTCACACCCGAAGCTCCTACTTGAAATGTTCACATCACTACTGTAGTCACAGTCCCCGACTAGACTTCCGGTAACGTCTCTACTCCCTAGCCCTCACTATACTAGCCTCTTTCAGCCTCGCTGACTTGAGCGTCGGAGTGCCTACGGAAAACACCACCCTGATATTTTCCGTTTGCTTCATGCTTGTTTCTCTACGTGTGCAGGTACAGCAATCGCTAGTGGCCTCAACCTCATGGGATCAGACCCCCCTTCCATACAGGTAGATTTTTACGTCTACAATTTGGCGCCCACCGTAGGGCCTTCACAATTATCTGCCAACGATGACTTGCAACTTGAGAGGAGGCACGAAACTCCTTTGATTGACATCGTTAATCAGAAAGTTAAATCATGATAAGAAAGTTTTATTTACTTTTCTCCATTTTAAATTCATTGGAAGCATCTAGGAATCGTTCACATATCATATTATATTTGTTCAGTGTGAAGCATAATGTTTTGACGCATCTCCCATGTTTATTATCTGTTCATGCACCGCTTTAAACATTAATCACGTTTTGGGACTTTATGTGCATCAGTGCAATGTTTAATTGCTTATTTGGAAGGTATATCATGTTTTAAGTATCCTTGTATGTCTTGGGCATGTTTTAGAATGTTTAAAACATCTTTCCAGAACTGACTTTCGAGCCAAAATCCCAAAACCCTTGTGTAGCTTCATTCGACTTTGCAATATATTCTAAACCCATGGAGCCAAATGAAGGTATCGCATATCTTGAAGCCCCTTTGCAGAAACGATTTCCTTTGCAAATTACCAAAAATCGCCTCCAAATCTCTTTCTTCTTCTGTCAAACGAAGAAAATTCATGAAACCCATTTAGCCTCCTTCAAAACCCAATATCAAAACTCCCCAAGAATCGCTCAAAACACTTCAACACCTTTTGGAATTCAAAAAGAATCAGAGAAAAAGCAAAAGAATAGGAACTTTACCAAGAAATCTCGGAGAAATGCATCTAGGAAATCTTCAGCCATAGGAATTCTCTCTCAAATTTTTCTTTCCAAAGAAAAATAAAGAAGTCCTCCTTCAAAGCAAAAAGAAACGAAGGAAAGAAAATAGTTTTGAAATTCAAAGTTGAAACACCTTTTTATGCAATTCAATGCACACCATTTCAAAAATGCCACATGTCAAAACTTTGGAAAAAGGGCTTTTCATTCCCACCTCTTGCACAATTAATCCAGATTCCTCGTGTCATGCCCACATGCTTTGATACTCTTTGACAAAGAGGCTGAATGAATTAAAGCTTTATCTGAAAATTGTTCTACTTTCCGAAATTGAGACAGTCAACATCACCACTCGGCCCGTTAAGTAATAAACTACACACCTCCCTTATGGTCACCACTCACTAGTCAATGTTAGCATCACCTGAAACTTGTTCGGCTCTTCCTCAATGAAACACCTACTCAATTGAGCTCCATTCGGCTCTTTGCTTAAAACATGCATGTCATGCGTGTCACTGCTCCAACTTTAATCAAATGTTTTCAACTACAAAGTCAGTCATGCCGACTTGACCGCAAGCTCTATACAAGCTCCACTTGGCATACACCTTCGGATCGGACCTGCCCGATTCACAGATTTATACCTTAGGATCAACCCTACTCGATCCATGGATTCACACCTTCGAATTGACCCTGCCCGATTCACGGATTTATACCTTCGGATCGACCCTGCTTGATCCATGAATTTACACTTTCGGATCGACCTTGCTCGATCCACCGATACACACCTTTGGATCGGCCTTTGCTCGATTCACAGATTTATACCTTTGGATCGGCCCTGCTCGATTCACGAATTTACACCTTCGGAATGGCCCTGCTCGATTCACGGATTTATACCTTCGGATCGGCCCTGCCCGATTCAGGATTGATACCTTCGGATCGACCTTGCTCGATCCACGGATTTACACCTTCGGATCAACCCTGCCCGATCCACGGATTCACACCTTCAAATCGGCCCTGCCCGATTCATGGATTTACACATTCGGATTGACCCTGCTCGATCCATGGATTGACAACTTCGAATCGACCCTGCTCGATCCACGGATTGATACCTTTGGATCGACCCTGCTCGATCCACGGATTGACACCTTCGGATCAACCCTGCTCGATTCAGGAGCTTACACCTTCGAATCGGCCCTGTCCGATTCATGAGCTTACACCTTCGGATTGGCTCTACCCGATTCACGAGCTTACACCTTCGGATTGGCCCTGCCCGATTTATGAGTTTACACCTTCGATGATCCCAACCCGATTCAAGAGTTTACATCTTCGATCGGCCTTACCTGATTCATGAGTTTACACCTTCGATCGGCCCAGCCTGATTCATGAGTTTACACCTTTGATCGGCCCAGACCGATCCACGAGTTTACACCTTTGATCAGCTCAAACTGATTCACTAGTTTACACCTTCGATCCGCTCAGACCGATTCATGAGTTTACACCTTCGATCGGCCCAGACTGATTCCTAAGTTTACACCTTCAATCGGCCCAAACCGATTAATAAGTTTACACCTCAAATCGATAAGTCATCGACCCAATCCACACAACGGTCCATCCGACCTAACGAGTTGCTATTACTAATCCGCTCAGTTTGCACTTATTCGATTAAATCTACTCTCTAAGCTAAATACTCTTTAACATTTAACTTAGAGAGTGAGGGGCTAACTGTTAGGGCCAAAAATCATCTTGGGCGACTTTGATGTTGGTTCCACCATTGAAGCAAATCCATCTCACGTTTCTCCTTCATCATCATGTAGGACAGGTCCATTTATAGGTAGCGATTCAGCTCATTTGGTCCATGTATGTACGAGCTGGAGCTGCTACTTCTGCCATGTTCCATATACGTCCACATGCTCGATCCTTGATGGAGGTCTCCATCAGAGTCCTGATCGTCTCTCCGAGACGTTCCATTTCCACTTCCATTGTACATGTTCTGATATAAAGAAAAAAAGCTTTCCAATTTTTGCTTAAAGTCAGTCAAATATGACGTATAATCATGTCCTAAATGCTGACGAAATAAACATGTCATGGCCCAAGGCCTCAACCCAATCCCGATTGAGCCTACGCTTAAAATCACCTTGTGAACTACCCACTCTATGAGTTGGGCTATCATATAAGTTAAGCTAAACTGGGTTTCAGCCCATTAGCCTACAACAGTCATAAATAGGGAATTAGAATCCCATTCTATTTCCTCTTCTACTAAGATTCCAAGTCTTACTTAAACTATTAAACTTAATCTGATAAGGTCAAGAAATCATATCTCTTTCATGATAGGGATTATCTCCCAAAATAGGACTTAGTGTCCTACTAAGATTCCAAGTCTTACTTAAACTATTAAACTTAATCTGATAAGGTCAAGAAATCATATCTCTTTCATGATATGAACTATCTCCCAAAAAAAGGGACTCAATGTCCTACTAGGATTCCAACCCCTTGGGTTCACTATAAAAACATAAGTTTGCCCTTTCATGAGGGAGGCAATCTCCCATAGTCAATCTACACTACTCAAAACCATCTATTTGCTCCTAAAGTTCTTACTCCCTAGAACCTGACGTCTCCATCGTAGTCCTAGCCTCCGACAAGACTCCTGGTAATTCTTCTTCTCCTTAATTCTTATTAAATAATCTCTTTCAGCTTTGCTGACTTGAGCGTCGGAGTGCCTACGGCAAACACCACCCTGGTGTTTTCCGGAAGCTTCACGCTTGCCCTTTCATGTGTGTAGGTCCAACAAATTATCAATGGCCTCAACCTTACGGGATCAGACCCTATTTTCATGACGATAGATTTTTCGCATCTACAGGTGTATAACTCTTAGGAGCAAGAGCTTGGGAGCAAATAGGTGGTATCCAAATTGAATTGTAGTGAGAGGTAAGACCCCTTTTTATATAATAGTCATACGATCTTTGATTCCCAGTAGGACTTTGAATCTGCAATGGCAGAGTTCTGGTAAATAGGAAAGACCCTGATTTACCCTAGTAGGACTTTGAATCCGCAATGGCAAAGTACTGGTAAATAGGAAAGACCTTGATTTACTTACTTTAGTAGGATTGAGAGTCTTAATTCACGTAAGATGCAGAATCTTGAATGAATTAGGATAAAATCCAAATAGGAAGTAGATGTACTAGGGCTTTTAGTGGGACTCTGAGCCCTCAGAAGTTATCATGGACCAATGGGCCTGACCCTAAGTGGGCTAATGGTGATGCCCAATATGGAGAGAAGTTGGGCTTAGGCGATGGATCTGGTCCATGACATGAGCCTTAACATGGGCCCATTCAGAATTGGGCCAGGACCTTGGGCCTACACAGTAGAAATCACTCGATTGGGCTTGACAATGCCCAAGTTGATTTTTGGCCCATACAATCAGCAGATTCCATAAATATTTCAAAACTCAGTATGTCGATCAAGGGTCAATCCCAATATCCATCAAATATATATATAATATATTATATATATATATATAATATATATATATATAGTATATATATATATATATATATATATATATAGAGAGAGAGAGAGAGAGAGAGAAACATTTCTATAGTCATAATGGTAGAACCAACTAATTTGATTACTATGAAAAGATTATAACTTAATAGAGGTGTAGTTACAAAAATTGTTGTTTTTATTTCTTATTTTATAATTCATGTTTTAGTAATATAGTGTTAGGATTTTAATTCATGTTTTAATAGTACTAGGACTTCAATTCAACACTTCAATTGTCTACTTTTGAAACGGATAAAAGATATTGTCTAGGAACCAGTAAATATAAGTGTTTTTGATGGAATTGTATATGCAATTGTTGCATAGTCAATTGATGTGAAGCTACAAACTTTTGTCAATTGTTTTTAGCACTACAAAATTAAGACCCCTGATGTCAATGAATTGCAAGTTATAAATGAGGTAGACGATGAGAATCAAAGAGTCATTACAAAATTGAGTTACCAGATTCGACAACTTCACTACACTAATCAGATGAATTTTAATGTTTTCGTCAATCATCTAAATGAGCAACAAGTCATGTATGCTTTAACTAAATAAGAAATCATTCTACAATTGGACAAGAAGAGAAAGGAAATAATAATAAGGATGATAGCACGGAAATAAAAAAAGTTTAGTGCCAAAAAGCTTTAAACATTCTTGAGAAGTTGGAAATATTTTGGGTTCAACAAGAAAATATTAATGCTAGCGAGTTATTACGTACCCGCATGTTAAAAGATGTGGTAACAACTTTAAAGCACAAATTGTTTTCCCAAACAACTTTAAATAAATATTTTATTTCATCATAGTATATATTTTTTTTGCAATATATAAATAATTATTATTATGTGAAGGCAATTTTCTTAAGATTGAAATTAGAAAAATTATAACTTATTGCAATGTGAAGTTTATTCTTATTTATAACTATCCAAATTTATGACTATAAGGAGGTTATTCCTATATAGAATATCATTACAGAGCATTATTACATATAAGGTGATCCCAAAGTTCGAATCTAGGAAATCAATGAAGGAAACAAGCCTTGTTGACCGTTAGGCTAAATGGCCAACCCGTTGAGTTAGTTAGCTTATATTGGCAAACTAGTCCAAATATATGTGACCTATTTATTTGCATTGATCCTAATTGAGTGTGAACAACCATTAGAATGTCCACTTATACAAATTAGGTCCATCCAACAAACTTAAAAAATTCTATTTCTATTTCTATTTTATAATTTTTAACCCTCTAAATTATCTCTTTTTTACATCAGAATCCCCGAATGAAAACATTTCTCCTGGTTGTAAGTTGTAACTGCCATATCTGGCAATGACGTTCTACATCCTTTATATGCTTTCCAATTGATATCATATTATTTATATTTTTAATGACACTGTGATTAGTTTATAAGTTAATGTAATATAAACATTTTTTTTATTGCCAAAAATTTCTAATAAAAAAGACAATAGTATATTGCATAAATTTGAATGGACAATGAACAAACGTCCACTAGAATCAACGTTTAGTTGATGAAGTCAAAAAGCATTCAAAATTAAATGAGAGAAAAATGAATCCAAAACAAAAAGACGCACAAATAAAACTAAAAGGGCTTCCACACTGCTTTTAATTCTATTTTACCAACTAAAAAGGGTACAAGGAAATTTACATCTTCATATTAAAATCTTATATTCTCACTTAGTCAATGCCGGTTGCCAATTAGGGAATTAAATATAATATCTGTATTAATTCTATGCAATCCTGGTCCTGGCTAGTGGCCGCTGCCTGCTAACTTGTTTAAATCAATTACCTTATGCCAAATTTTCAATCTATCTCCATCTTGAAAGGTAAACAGAGAAAGCAACATTAAGATTGAGCAATGAGTCACGGAATTGGTTCAGCTGGAAGAAAATCATGCTTCCATGACTGCATCACATCAACCTTCTCAACCACAAACTCCATGCTTCAACCTTGTTCATACGTTGCTTTCAATTCCCATCTTCCAAAACTCAGTTTTCCCCTCAAAACTCAATCTGGGTCTTTTCAAAACAGAGCGAGGGCCTCTGTCGTTAACAGTTTGTACATTGGCACAGAGAGTTTGAACGACTTGCTGGGCATTTCAGACAGTGGAACACTCACAGAGATCAAGCAATCTTATAAGCAACTTGTACGAAAATACCATCCTAATGTGTCGCCGCCGGAAAGAATAGAAGAACACACGAAGAGGTTTATTCAGGTACAAGAAGCTTACGAGACTTTATCTGACCTCATAAGCAGAGCTTTGTATGATAAACAATTGGCTTTGTCTTCGAGGAAAGAGGTAACTATACTATGAATTAATTGTTGATATTGGATATTGTTTGAAGCAGGAATTGGAAGAGAAAAGAGAGTGGCGGAAGCAATGGCAGTCTCAACTGACACGGCTGGAGAGAAGGAGCATGAGGCAGGATTCGAGGGCCAGCATGTCATGGGGAGCTAGAATGCGCAGGAGATCAAATCAAAACTAGAGATTATCATCATGTTTACCATTATTATATTGAGCTAAATGGCGATCAACATTGAGGCTTTGATTTGTTCGTGTTATAATATTTATGGTTTTCATGGTTAAGTTGAAAAATATCAAACAATCAAAAGTTGTAATAATCAAATCATACATAGTTGAGTTGGTTCCAGCTGCATGCAAAGATTATCGATCCATCCCACTTACATCACTAATATTATAATCCAGAATTAGGCATCATTTTCACAAATGGTAGGATTTGACGGGGACTTCCTTTCACGAAACCTACGGGTACCATAGCTAACTCATCTAAATTAATTAGCAAAATAAATTATTATATCCTCCACAAATTACTTGTTATAAAAGACAAAATTAAAGATACAAGGTTGTTATGCGGTAAATCCATGTAGCATGAATTTACGTCACGTGTCTAAGGTTATGTTGTTATTCATGCCGCATGTCATTTTATATGAAGCTTATTTTACTTGTAAGTTTATCATTGTAACACTATATAAACCTACTTTTTATTCTAATTAAGGGGGTTCATTCATAACTTGTACAAGCCGTACTTATATACAGAGAAGCAATACAAAAAACAGTGGACGTAAGATTTATATTAAGCATCCGAACTACTTAAATTTTTTTTTCCTGTGTTGTTTGATTTATTATTTATCTATCAATCTCACATCAGAATTACAGGTTTTACACCTCCTATATAGATTCTATTACAGATCCTAAGTACTTCTCATTGATGTAAAAACTCCATCAACAAATGTCTTTGCAACTAAGTATGTATGTGTCAACCACCATACATTGATATTCGTTAAGGGGACTATTTCTATGGATATTTTTAAATTGCTAAATGCTGTCCTCTTATATAAGTTTCTTTAATAGATACTAATGTAATGTACTATATTTCAAATTTATTTCTCAAGTTAAAACATGTCAACACGTTAGGAAAAAGGAAGAGGTAAAGAAAATAACATATTACCTTCAAATCGTTAATTATTTTCGTAATTTAGGAACAGAAAAGTCAAAAATGTGGATGGGCCTAATCTAAGATAAAAATGGTGGCCCAAATGTAATGGGCCTCAACATATTTCAGGGGCTTAGAGGTAACGAGGTTACTGCTTACTGATTAGCACAAGGAAATTATGGAATCAAGAAAGAATCGATTTTAATAAATTAACAGAAACGGGAAGCAAATCGTAGACTCCCACTTCTGCGCATACTTGCAACCAAATGGCAGCTAATTTCTGGACATCCTCTCACTAGTAAGTTTCCATTTATCTAAATTTTAATTGCCCAGATTTCTAAATTTTGATTCTGTTTTGCTTATGATTTTGCGTGTGTGCAGCAAACTGCTCCTGGACCAGGAAGAGGTGGATGTGGTGCAACCTCTTGACAGGGAGAAGGGTATCACTCTTGAAGAATTCAAGCTAATTAAGATGCAAATGGCCAGTTGTATGTGCTCTCTCTCTTCTTCTCTTTCCATCCTCGTCTGTATTATGACTTACGTTTCTGTTTTGATGTCTTAGATGGAATCTTAATTTTAGCATCTTCTTAATTATTATTATTATTTTTGGTATAAATTTCATGCGTCTGAGAATTTTTTTATGCCAGTTTAGGAAAGTATCTTCTTCTGGATTTGTTGAGATTTGAGAGAAAACGACGTTGAACAAATTGAAGAGAAGAAATATTTTCTCATATATTGATCACGTGAATCTGTACAGCTCATATATACATACATGCATTGCTTTCTGTTATTCAGAAAGTAACTAACTTACTAAACCAACTAACTCTAACAACCTTCTAACTAACAACGCCAACTCTGCTGTTTCACAGTCTTGAGCTGACCTAAAACTGCCATGCATTTATCCGGCCAACTTGTCCTTCAACACTCCCCCTCAAGTTGGCATCTTGTAGATATCTTTCATTCCAAGTTTAGCAACTAATTTCTCATGCTGCTGTCTCCCTAATCCTTTGGTCAAGATATCTGCTACTTGTTCTCCACTGCAAACATATTCTGTGCTTAAAGTTTTATCTTGGATTCTTTCTCTTACAAAGTGGCAGTCAATCTCAATGTGTTTTGTTCTCTCATGAAACATTGGATTGGCTGCAATTTGTAGAGCAGCTTTGTTATCACAGAAGAGCTTTACAGGTTTCATGCTTTCCAGATTCAACTCTTTCAGCAGTCCTAATAGCCAAACTATCTCTGCGGTAGTGCTTGCCATGCTTCTATATTCTCTTTTGCTGAAGACTGGACACAGTACTTTGTTTCTTCGTCGTTTTCCATGATATGAGGGATTCACCTAACCTTACACAATATCCACTAACAGATTTTCTACTTACTGGACATGCAGCCCAGTCAGAGTCACAATAAGCTATTAGCTCCATGTTGCTCTTCGACGACATCAGTAATCCAGTCCTGGACTCCCTTTTACATATTTAACAATTCTTAGTGCAGCTTCCAAATGTGATTGCTTTGGATTATGCATATGTTGACTGAGAGTCTGTACTGAAAAACTGATATCCGGTCTTGTCATGGTTAAATAGAGCAGTCTGCCTATTAATCTCTTGAATATTGAAGGATCATCCAACAATTTATCTTCTTCTGTTGGTGGATATTTCTGATCATATTCAAATGAAGTAATCTTCTGATTTTGCTCAAAAGAGTTTTGATTGGTTTAGCATCTCCCATTCCAGCTTCAGATATCAATTCTAAGGCATATTTTCTCTGATTCAACACTATGCCTTCTCTGGATTTGGCTATTCAATGCCGAGAAAAAACCTTAATTCTCCCAGTCTTTTATTTTGAAACTACTCTGCAAAATGTCTTTTAGTTGTTTGATCATTTCTTCACAATTTCCGGTTATAAGATATCATCTACATAAACCAGTAGAATGACAATCTTGCTGCCCTGTTTTCATGTAACATAGAGTAATCATGCTTACTTTGAATGTAATCATTCTTGATCAAAGCTTCAGTCAACTTTAGGTTCCACTACCGACTGGCTTGTTTCAAGCCATAAAGGCTTTTGAGCAATCTACATGCCTTATACTCCCCCTGATTGCGAAATCCCTTAGGCAGCTCCATATACACTCTTCATGCAAATCACCTTGAAGAAATGCATTAAAAACATCCATCTGATATAATGGCCATTGATGAACAGAAGCTAAGGCCAAGATAGTGCGCACTGTCACCATTTTTGCAACTGGCGAAAAGGTTTCTGTGAAATCGATTCCCTCTTGCGGTTGTAACCCTTGGCTACAAACCGAGCTTTGAATCGCTCAAGGGTGCCATCAGATTTGTACTTGACCTTAAATACCCATTTGCAGCCTATGGCAGCCTGCCAGGAGGAAGGGAGATTAACTCCCAAGTGTGATTAGCTTCCAAGGCACTGATTTCAGCTTTCATGGCTTCAATCCAGTGAGGATATTTGACAGCCTCTTCATAAGAGAAGGTTCAATATGTTTAGACATAGAAGTATGGAAGCATTGATAAGGACCAACAAGATGGGTATAGCTTATGTACTTCTGAATAGCAAATGAGCATGTGGGAGACATAGTCTGTAAGCCATAAGGAGGCCTAGTGCTACGAGAGGATCGTCTAGGAGCTGCAGGGCAGGAATCTGGGACAGTATGAGAAGAAGAGACATATCTGGAGCAGTAGGAGCTGGTGGAATATTTTGTGCAGGAGTGATGGGAGACTGAGAAGTCTAATGCAGAAAATTAGAATCAAAATCCAATGATCTGTGGGTTCTGAAGATGGAAACAAGGCCGGAGATGAAATGGCAGACTGAAAGGGAAAAATATGCTCTAGGAAATGCACACTCTACTGACAAACAACTTGCGAGTGGCAAGAGAGAGGAGTTTGTATCCTTTTTGAGTTGACGAATATCCAAGAAAATGAAGGAATACTTCTAACACCCAGCTTATCTTTAGAAGTAAAGTTGGCAGCATAGCATAAGCACCCAAACACCTTGAAATGCTCCACAGAAGGAGGTCTAGAGTGGAGTAATTCGTAAGGACTTCTGTTAGAAAGAACTGAAGTGGGTAATCTATTGATGATGTACAGGCAGTAAGGATGCATTCACTCCAATGATATAGGAATGTTTGCTTGAATCCTTAATGCCCTTGCCACTTCAAGAGATGTCTGTGCTTCCTTTCTACTAAACCATTTTGCTGAGGAGTGGCTACACAAGAGCTTTGGTGAACAATCCCCAAGAAGTAAAGAAATCATCACACTGTGAATTAAAAAATTCACTCCCATTATGATCTAACAATCTTGATAGTGGCAGAAAATTGAGTGTATACAAGAGCAAAAAATTGCTTGAGAGTGATTGTTTCATGCTTATTCACATTAAGAATATCCAAGTAGTTCTGGTGAAGTCATCAACCAATGTTAAGAAAAACCTGTGACCATTATGTGTAGGCTGAGAATAAGGTCCCCATACATCCATGTGATTAAATAAAAGGTGCAGAAGCTCTACTATGGCTTGCTGTGAATGGCATTCTAGTTTGCTTGGCAAGAGGACAAATATGACAATCAAAACCATGATTATCCTTAACAAAGCATGTTTGATTGCAGAATAATATTTGAGTTTAGACACAGGTACATGTCCCAAGCGTTTGTGCCCCAACTCAGAAGAGCTAAGCATGCACTGCTTGGTATTATTCGAAACTACAAACTTGGAATAACAGCATGAGAGACATCATTATTTGAAGATGAGCTATGAGAGACTGCATCAGGTGAAAGTGATCTTGAATGAGCTAATTCTGATGGTGATTGTGACAGCAGAAAGTGAGGCCCTCAGTTTGTTTACCAATCCCCTTCACCTGCCCATTTGAGAGGTCCTGAATTATAAAAATCAGGAAAAAGGACACAGAACAAGATAAGTCCTTAGTGAGCTTGGCAATGGAGATCAAATTAAACTTGAAATCAGGAACATAAAGAACATGTGTTTTTCTGATGGGACTGAGAAAACAAGAGCCTAGTGAGAAACTTCTAATACATGGCCATTTGGGAGTCTAACTGATGGAGAGACAAAGGGGAAATCAAATCAACTAACTACTCAACACAATGTGTCATGTGATGGCTACACCGACATCCAGATCCAAGATTGCTTATTGCTAAGAGAAGAAGATACAGAATACCTGCCATGTTAGCTTAATATCAGTCAAAGGAGAAGATGACGTGTCCCTATGCAGTAGCTTCAAGATCTCAGCATACTGCTCTTTTGTAAAAAGAGTTGATGACT